CACCAGGGCATTTCAGAGCGAGTAAGCTGGCTAAGCAGCGACCCGGTGTGGGCGCCGCGCTGATAGCTCCCAATCTTTGCCTGAAAACCTGAAGATTCTTGCCGAATGCCCCGTGCAGCTGGTGGCCATATGAGCCTGCTGCATACGCGCCCTGTCTTTCCAACCTTTGCATCACTTTATACTTTCTTGAAGCATGCGCGAACTTCTTTATTTTTTGATGCATTAAGTTGGCTTTGCCCATTCTTTGTGTTCTTACATTCCTTGCCAAACGTTTTCCACCTCCCAAGTCTGTGCCTAAGTACGCCATCTGCGACTGTGCCACCATTGGGAAACCTGCTTGCCTAACCTTTTTTGCGATGTACCTGGCGTCTTCAAGCTTTGTACACAACACTGCACTCTTGCATGCAATCGTCAGTTTCTGCTTTTGGAGGCCTTGGCACGTTGCTATTAAAACATCTGTTAGTTCTTTGCGTATCATTTTTCTCGACCCCTTTGTACTCTGACTCAAGTCATCAATCCAGATCCGATGGGAAAAGTTTGGATGTGCACACGTGATTGTTTGAAGTACAAAATACACAAGGGCCCTCGCGAACCTCGTACCTGACCTCAGCCCTTGGATTATTGAAAGAGTTGGCATGATGGGTGTAGCAACCGACCCTGACTGCCTCAGAAGAGGCGGGGCTGTACATTGAAGCAATTCTAAGTACAAGACTCGAGGAGGATACCCGAGCTTAAGTGCACAATAGATCAACTTGTCCCATACGATTGTGTCGTAAAATCCTTTTATATCTGTGAGTCCATTCCCAATATTCACTTCTAAGTGGCCTGCCAGTTCTTCGTCCAGCACTCTCACGAAAGCCTCTCTTAAGGCTGCATGTCCCTCTACTGCCGCGTCCCACTCTGGTGATGTGGCTCTTGACCACTCTGACACTAACGGGTCGCGTGCTTGAGACCAGATGCGACATGTCATGGCCATGAGCCCAATGACTCTGTCGCCGTCTCCTCGATGTTTGGGCTGCATATGTCCGATCACCAGTTGCGTCTGACACGGCCATGTCAATGTGTGCTCTATCAACTCATACAATTCACTCAGACTTTGCAGGGCTGTGTCAGGCTGCCTTTCCACATCTGTCGGTGATAGCCTGTCCACCCCTTGTCCAATATTCGGCCTCATTTTTTTTGTTGCTCTTCTGATTTCATCTGGCTCCAATGGCAAAAGGGGGTCCGCTTGGGCTTCCTGACGCGCATGTGCAAACGCTGCATCTAGCTCTTCCAGGCTTTCCAACTTTGGACTCCACAACTTTTCCCACTTTGGTAACTTTGCATCCAGGATAACTTTCGGCGACGTGTGCATTTCTCCTTTCTCATCCTGAAACTCCTGCTTGACCAGTGGCGCATCCTTTATTGAACGATGTAGGGCTCCCAAGGCTTGAGGCGATTCCACCCACTCTTTGAACTTTTCCAGTGATTTGAACAACGCTCTGCCTTGAGATCTTTTTGCCACTTTGGTAACCAATTTTACAATCTTTGTTAACGTGCCGTCACTTTGCTCATCAATCGTTCTTCTGATTCGCTGGATGCTGCTGAACGTTGGCTCCAGTCGTGTAAGAACCTCCGACGCTTTTTGAGGTGCACTGTTAACCAATTCTTTACATGCTGCCAAATACATTTCTGTCTGTTGCTTCCCATTTTGCCTTTCTCGGTGTCGGCCCAAATTCTCAAGAATTGTCGCCATCCGAGTCCACCAATTTGCTACTTCATCATATAGGGGTTGAGTGCCACCCATCTGCGATTGCTGAACTGTCCCTGTATGGAAACTGGCCGAACTCGTCCGAGATGGGCCAGGCGGTAACTGACATGCGTGATGTGTGCAGATACTTTCCTCCAGCGTTGCGATCCATGTCGCATACGCGCTCGAAACTGCACTCAAATGGCTAGAGCCAAAACGGTTACAGAGAGAGTCCAGGAAGTGGGGAGAGGGGGGGCAACTGCTGGCATGGATATAGCCAACCCGCGACCTGCTCTCCCTCCAGGTGACCTCGGGGATCCAGAACGTGGGGCTCTCTCCTTGGGGCTCGTCGTGGCTGTTTAAACGAGGCGGCGGAGCAAAGCACACACAACTGGGATCCGAGGGGGCCGTGTCCTGTGAGAGCCAATCGCGCTCAGGCCACTCCTCGAGATTATCTTCAACCTCGAATTCAAAATGACCATCTTCCTCACCCTCGGCAGGAGCACTTCTTAGTTGCTCAGCTGGAGGGCTCGGGTCTAAAGCATCGTGAAACATCTCTTTATAAGCTTCTATACGCTTCTCCCTAGCAAGCGATTGTTTAATTTTGCGAGCATTCCTAGCAAGAGACGATTTGGATCCCTCCGTGGCCTCTTTGGTCGGACGGGGCTCCTGGGGCAACCTACCTGGCAGCTTTAACACGCGGGTCTCAAGACTAGTTCCCTCAGACAGGATCTCAACCGAGAGGCCGATATGGGGCTTCCAGGGCACACTGACCACAGGAGCTATGCTCTTAATGAGGGGTCGGGCGGAGACCGAGCAGACGATATAGTCAAGATGCGAGCCGTTTTTCCCTGGCGAGCACGTCACCTCAACGGGCGCCTGCACAACTGCTCCTCCCACAGCATCAAGAAAACCTGATTTCATCAAAGTCTGAGGTGATACGTTGAAGTCACCCGCGACCGCCCACGGCACTTTCAACGAAGTGAGCAGGGCACCCAAATGATGATATCTCGCGATGTTTTTTCCTGTCATCCCTATCGATGGATGACCATAGAACATGATTAGCGCCATTGCAATTCCCTGGAACTGAAAGAGTGTAGGACAGAAGCCGTCCCAACAAGCCTGACCTTTGGCCTGACTTGACTTCATACACTCTGGTCCCAGCAACGGCTTGATTTGTAAATGACCTTTTGATAAGATCCACTCTCCCCATTCATTCGACTTAGCTGCTCTGGCAGCCGAAACATGCTTGTGAGTCTGTCTCGCTTTGTTGGCTAGCAATCTCAACTTCTGTTTACGAGCACGAATGTCCCATTTTTTTATTTGAGCGGCAGCCACATGTGTTTCAACAAACCCAATGTATTCGTAGCTATCAAGCTTTGTCTCCACATATCTCCAGCACTTGTCCCCCATTGCCGTGATATTCGCAAAGAAAAAATTGCTCACCCCATTGTTAGTACTTGTGCTAACTCCTGCCTCCGAGTTGCCCATCTCAGAGGCTCCTTTCACGTCGGAACCTAGTCACGAGCCCTCTCCAGGGCCCTTGCCTTTGCCCATCGCCTCTGTGTTCTTGCCGCCCTTCCCCTTGGCCTGATACGCTGCCTTGATAGCCTCGAACTTGGCCTTGGAGATCTGCTCAACTGTTTGGCGAATCTGTTCTTCTTTTTTTCGCGTCGGGCTGACCATCTGGCGAACTGGCTGCGCTCCCCGTCGTCGCCGCCTCGGCCGCTCCTGGAGCGGCGGGCTGGCTCATGGGGGCGTCTTCTGCCACGTCGCCTGCTGCCGCACCCTGCTCGGTCTTCCTCTTCTTAGCTAATCGAGAGACCTGTGCCTTTCGTACTTCTGCTGCTGCCGTCAACCATTGCTCCACTTCAGAATTCTTTTCTGTGAGATGCCGTGTAGTTGCTTCCAAGTCAGCCAACAATGTTTGCATTTTCTCCTTTTCCTCAGCTTCATATTCACCAGACTCCATATCAGAAAATAGATCCTCATCCCAAGTAATTGTCATATTCGGGCTCATGTCATTTTTCTTTTCATCTGGCTTGGCCTCTGGCTTCGTCGGGGTAACACCTTCCAACTTTGCGAGAAGCTCCGTTGCCTGCTGTTTTGCCATGGCCGTTTTTGCAACCAACTCTGCTGCTTCATGTTCCTTTTTGCTGGGCTACTTCCAACGACCTTTGTAGTTTCAGCACGTTCGTCACACACTGGCCATGCCGATAATCTGCATCTTTCCAAGCTCCAACCGCTTTGCGTACCGCCTCCGCCGCAGATGCTGACGATGTCTCTTCTTTTTTAGATTATGTTTCCTTGGCCTCGTCGAGCACCTGCAGCTGAACCTTTAGCGCCAGCCTCAGGTTGTGGTCGGTGGTGTTGCCGTGGATCTGCTTCAGCGCGTCCCGATCGTTCACCTTCGCATTGCGGTTGTCGCCCTGATTCTCATTGCCGTTTTCTCCATCATCTTTGCTCTTGTACAAGCGCACTTTTTTGTAACATCCAGGGCAGTGAAATCCTTTTGCATCAAGAACTGTGTTCCACTCCACGCGCTTGCAAGAAAAACATTTGGACCATCCCTTCTTTTGAGAATCAGTGAGGTACGTCATTCTCTCTCGCTTTTGTCACTCTCAATCAGCTGCACAACGTGACCTCTGAGAGTGTGCCCCAAGCACCTACGAGCAGGTACGAGAGACGGACCCGTGCTGTGCCTCGCGCGGGGGCGAGGGCTGCTCGAGCCCAAGTGGCTTGAGGGAGGAGGGGGAGGGGGAGGGGGAGGGGGAGGGAGGAGGAGGAGGAGGAGGAGGAGGAGGAGGAGGAGGAGGAGGAGGAGGAATAGGAGGAGGAGGAGGAGTAGGAGGAGGAAGAGGAGGAGGAGGAGGAGGAGGAGGAGGAGGAGGTCCTCCCCCTCCTCCACCCTCCTCCCGTGAAGACGGCTGCACTCTCGATGCCGTCTGAGGGGGGCAGCCGCCCTCGCCGTCGCGCCCAGAGTCCCGCAGCGGTCTACGCACTGCTTTCCAAGAGGGGAGACGACACACAGACACAATTAACCGTCGACTCCCCAGAGAATATTGGAGAATATGGGAAGTGGGGGGAAGACTAAAAACCGAGAGAGGGTATGGGAAGATATGGGGAATCCTGTTGTTTGTGTCTATTTATTTGTGTGTCCCAGGGCCCCTTCAGTTTTATTCGTTGTCTCCTCAACCCTCCTCCCTCCCCAACGCCAGTGCCGCGTTCTGGTTGGAGCCGCCTCCTCTCCTCTTATCGCCCGCTCCCTAAGACCCTTCCTGATGCCAGGCCGGCGAAGTTGATGGCGCGTCGTCCTCTGCGAGCCCGGCGAAGACGCACAGGGCAAAGACGAGGCCAGGACCTTGGGGCAGGGTCCAGTTCGGTCCGATCAATGTGATTCAACATCGATTTCGGCCGGTCCGGTTTGTGTTCGACTTTGGTATCCCGACTGTCCGATGCGTCCCGATGTTTGCACGGCGTTGTTGTGCATCTTGGCACGGCCGATTCGGTTCGATGCCGATTCCGTGCCGATGCGGCCCGAGTCGATGCGTGTTCCCATCCGATCCGATTTAGCGATTCGATGTTGACCGTTCCTGCCAGGGTCCGCGGGTGATCGTTCACGGTCGCGGGTTCCCACGAACCCACGTGCATGCGGTTGTGCAGCGCCCCTCGTGCTGCAGTCTGATTGTTCATCGCTGCCACGAGCAGTATAACACTGTTGCTGCTTCTTCTGAGATCCCCAACGAGCGGCTCGCGAAGCCAAATCGCCATCGACCGATCGAAATGAGATCGATCGAAATTCGATCCCTCGACTGAATTTCAATCGCAGAGTTCGTGCTCCTCCCGATCGAAGTCCGATCCCAGATACGGGGCCGGCCCTCTGCGCAGCCTGCACTGCCATGCCGTTGAGGTCACCACCCGTGGGAGCGGCGCCAAGACAGCTTGGCATGGCGAGGGGGCCGGTCCGCGAGGGCTGGCCCGCTTGATGTTCAGAGCTGGCCTCGCGAGCATCTTGGTCTCGGTGCTTCGGGCCGCTGTGCCGGCCAGCCCGTCCAACAGCGCATCCCATCGCGAGTTGCCGTGAGGAGGACGTGAAGGATCATCTGAGATACAATCTGCGGACGGACTGTATGCACCGTGACGCGTTTGCTGCTCCCGGGGCGTCGTCGATGATCGACCCAGGAGTGGTATGGTGCATACTTTTTCTCTGCCAACTTGTGTTGTGTCCTTGTTTTGAAGAGACAGCGCCCCGCGTCCATCTCTCCTCTCCTTCCTCCTCCCCCTCCTCCCTCCCATCATCATCATCATCATCATCATCATCATCATCATCATCATCAGCAGCAGCAGCAGCAGCAGCAGCAGCAGCAGCATCATCATCGTCATCGTCATCGTCATCGTCATCGTCATCACCATTACGGCCGTCAGCATCACCATCATCGTCACCTTGCCCCCGCCCATTCCTGCACGCCCTCACACGGTTCGTGGCCCCATAGGGAGCTCCACCGAAGGCCCCAGTTGCAGGGTGCGCATGCAGTTCCACCTTCATTTCGGCGCACCCCTCACACGGTTCGATGCCCCATAGGGGGCTCCACCGAAAGCCCCAGTGACAGGGTTCGCATGCGGTTCCACCCTCATCTCGGCGCACCCATCACACGCTTTCTGACCCCATAGGGAGCTCCACCGAATGCTTCAGTGGCAGGGTGCGCACCCCTCACACAGTTCCTGGCCCCATAGTGAGCTCCATCGAAGGCCCCAGTGGCAGGGTTTGCATACAGTTCCACCTTCATTTTGGCGCACCTCTCACACGGTTCGTGGCCCCATTGGGAGCTCCACAGAAGGCCACAGCGGCAGGGTTCGCATGCAGTTACACCTTCATGTCGGTGCCCCTCTCACACGGCTCGTGGCCCTGTAGGGAGCTCCACCGAAGGCCTCATTGGCAAGAACCGTTCTGGACCAGGTTCGCCGTGCCGCAGGGCTGCCGCGCCGCACCGAAGCCGGGTTTGCTCACGCCGGAGGCCTGCCGCCGGGCCGAGGAAGCTGCGCGCGGCGCACTCCTCGCGTCCCACGCGGCCTCGGGCCTGGCCGCGGGAGGCCCCCCCGAGGGGGTGCGCCTTCTCCGCGCGGCCGAGGGCCTCCTGCGCGCTGCGGTGGCCGCGATGCGCGGCCCCCCTGCGGCGCCTGCCACGCCCGCCCTTGGCGCTGCGTCTCGGAGGCGGCGGCGGCGGCGGCGCGGACGTGGCAAGCGTGCCGTTGGTGCAGCGGGCTCCGCCGTCGTGGGGGCGGTGGCCCAGAGCACGATTGCGGAGGCTGGAGGTGCAGGTGGCTTCGTGGCGACGGCTGTGCTGGCAGTTGGCGACGGCCGCGGGACGGTGGGGCAGCGTGCCCGCCCTCTCCTTGGGCCTGCTGCCTGCTGCCGACTTTTCTGATGCTGATGGCCTTCCTCCTGCTGATGTTCGTGAGGATCCGATAGAGCTGGCGGACGACAGCTGGGCCGACCTCGCACTTCCCCGTCGCGACGGCGGTGCTGGGAGGGCGGCGGCTGGCGGCTCGGCCCATCCAGGGCCAGGGCGATCCGAGTCGGAGCGCGAGCAGCTCCTGCTGCTTTCGATGGCGTTGCTGCGGAGTTCCTCGGACTTCGACCGTGGCCAAGAGGCGGAGCTGCTCGAGGAGCTCAAGCGCAAGCTGGCCGCAAGGCTCTGATGCCCGCGGTGCGCGCGTGTAGCGGCCTGTTTAGCAGCTGCGCGCCTCTCGCCGAGCGCCTCCTTGAGGGCGCCTGGGAGTGGCTTCATTGGACTCCCCTCGTTTAGGCGGGGGGCACGGCCAGGAGGGTGCCTTGCGTGGGCGCCCCTGGTGGCGTTGCAGACCTGGCTCCTTCCTTTTGCTCGGCCGCGCCCGCCCTCGCAGGTGGGTTCCCCAGGAGGGGGCTGCTTCTGGGGCCGCCTCAGATGTCTTTACAGCTACAGGCCACATTGGCAGGGTTCGCGTGCAGTTCCACCATCATTTCGGCGCACCCATCACACGCTTCCTGACCCCGTAAGGAGCTCCACCGAGTGCTTCAGTGGCAGGGCTCGCGTGCAGTTCCACCCCCATGTCGATGCCCCTCTCACACGGCTCGTGGCCCCGCAGGGAGCTCCGTCGAAGGCCCCAGTGAGAGGGTTCGCACGCAGTTCCACCCTCACCTCGGCGCACCTCTCATACCGTCCGTGGCCCCATAGGGAGCTCCACCGAATGCTTCAGTGGCAGGGTTCGCATGCAGTTCCACCCTCATTGCGGCGCCCCCCTCGCACGGCTCGTGGCCCCCATAGGGAGCTCCACCGAAGGCCCCAGTGGCGGGCCTCTCGTGCACTTCCACCCGGATTTCGGCGCACCCCTCACACGGTTCGTGGCCTCATAGGGAGCTCCACCGAAGGCCTCAGTGGCAGGGTTCTCGTGCAGTTCCACCTTCATTTCGGCGCACCATTCACACGGTTAGGGAGTTCCACCGAAGGTACCAGTGGCAAGGTTCGCATGCAGTTCCACCGTGATGCCGGCGCACCCCTCACATTGTTCGTGGCCCCATAGGGAGCTCCACCGAAGGCCCCTGTGACAGGGTTCGCATGCGGCTCCACCCCCGTTGCCACCCCCATCTCGGCACACTCTCACACGTTTCGTGGCCCTAAAGGGAGCTCCGCCGAAGGCCCCAGTGGCAGGGTTCGCATGCTGTTCCACCCCCAATTTCGGAACACCCCTCGCACGTGGCGTGGCCTAATATGGAGCTCCGCCGAAGGCCCCCGTGGCGGTGTCCGCGTGCGGTTCCACCCCCATTACCACCCCCATTTCGGCACACCCCTCACACGGTTCGCCCCAGTTGCAGGGTCATGCAGTTCCACTGTCATCTCGGCGCATCCCTCAAACGCGTCGTGACCCCATGGGGAGTTCCACCGAGGACGATACTCACAACTGCGACACCCACATCTGCATGTGGCTGGGTCCTTCGCCAGGCGAATGTCGACCCTCAGTCCCGAAAAGCTATGTACCGTACGGCGTTGTAGGGGGGCGGTGAAGGGATTCCAAACATGGCACGGTGCATGCGCGCTTTTCTCGTAGAGAGGAGAAACAACCGACAAACCACAGGAGATGTCAGCCCAAGCAGTCCACCAAAATTGATGACGCTTCGCGAGTCCCCACCAGCCCTTTCAGGAGCCCTGCCCATGAGAGCTGACGGGAAAAGGGACGAAGAGACACATATAGTGAAACAGCGCGGGCAACCAGGGTGAACAAGAGAGATCTCCGGGAACAATGGGGTGGCCTTGGAGGGCCTCTTCGGGCTATCCCCAGGGTTCGGAGCTATTTTGGGGCATCTTTGGGACCTCTTGGGCTCTTGGGTCTCTTTGGAAGGTCTTTGGGGGTCCTCTTGGGGCTCTTTTGGGGCGCCTTGGAGCCCTCATGGGGCCCTCTTGGGGCTCTCTTGGGGCTATCTTGGGGCCCTCCTTGGGAGCTATGGAGCGCCTCCTTCGGAATTCTTGGAGGCCATCGATCAAAGGAGGGGATCTTCGATTCCCCCCCCCTGGGGCCATCGAAATAGCCTCTTGGGGCGCTTGTGGGGCCCTCTTTGGGCGATCTTGGGCGCACTTGGGGCAGTCTTGGGGGCCTCTTGGGCCCTTCTTGGAGCTCTCTTGGGCCGTATTGAGGCCATCTTGGGGCCTCAAAGCGCATCGGAAGCGAAAGGGCGAGAAGGCACAAATCATTGATTATCCTTTTTGGGGTTTTTGAAGGATATTGGCTTCTCGGGGAGGTCCTGACGGGTCGCCAGAAGCACCTGGAACCGTTTTGTCGCCCTCTTGGGGCCTCTTGGAGGCATGTTGTTAGCTATCTTGAGCCATGCTGGGTTATCTTGAGCGATCTTGAAGGCTATCTTGGGCTCTTTGAGGTTCTCTTGGAGCCACCTTGGGCGAAAAAGGACCTTCTGACACCTCGCGAAATCCCCGTCCAGGTCCAGGGGAGGGGGTAGGGGGAGGGGTAAATCTTTCCCCGGAGGGGAGGAAAAGGTTTCTGGAAGAGGAAGGGAAGACATCGTGAGACCACCTTCGCCCAGAGGGCTGGTGGGATTGCCAGCATGGGGGCTCTCTGTGAGCCTGTCCTGGAGCCTTTCGGTGTTCCTGGGCCCTGCTGGCAGCCAGTCAGTACATCTTCGGCTAGTGCTGGAGGCAATCGGCTGAGCAGCACAGGGACGCATTGGGATGCCATTCGGGGCCTTGTTTCGCCCATCTTAGGCGTTCGGCCGTCTCCAGGACATCTGGATG